TTTTATAGATGAAATGTGAGGAACAGGAAAAATAAATGACTTACTTAAGATGACATAATTAGTTGATGACAGCCCTAGGGAAAAAATCCAATTTTCTCCACCATCCCCTGCTGTAGTGAAATTGGAGTTGAAAAGTCATTAGCAAATGTGGTTACTAATCTGGTCAAAAACAGACATCATCCTTTATTAAATGTATTTCCTAGTGGTTAAATCAAGGCTCTGTAAAAGTAGTAGATTTCAAAGGAGGATTTATTTGACTACTGACTCTACCCCTCACCCCCACACACACCCCTTCCTCTCCTATTCCTCAAGTTGCCCTTATCTTCAACCCTTCTTAGGAGTAAAATTATAGAGACACAAGAACCTCATACATGGGTAGGTTGTGAAAGGACAATCAAGTTGAACCAGACTGAGGAAAACTGAAATGCTTATTGTGTCTACTTCCATTTGTAATTAATAAACTTAAATGTATGCAAATTCATGAATTTTAGCTGCAGAGTCACCAGAAAATCTGGTGAATATCACCAACTAGAAAACACTTATAGCTTAACTCCTGTTGAAAAGAAGCAGTATTTATTCTTGCCTTTAACCTTAGATGGAGAACCAATTGTAGTCGGGAACTGAATCGTAGTCAGATCTTGGTGTCCTTTAAGAAGTTCAGTCTAGTTCTGCATAATATAATGGGAGAATGATTTACAGAAAGCTCACTAGACTGCCAGTCTAGGGACTTGGACTCTTCATATGAACAGTGGAACATCATCTAATTGCTTTGGATCTCAAATTGTATGTTTGTAGATGGCTCCGTGAGCTTCTCTACCTCCTACGTCCCTTCTAGTTCTATAATTCTTTAATGTAGCTTTATCTTATAGAGCTGACTTTTGATTCAGTCTGGTTAAATACTGGCTGTTGTCATTCAGCCACATTGCACCTCTTATTGTCTGCACATCATTTGGGGGCCTGTGGAAAGGACACTAGAAGGGGCTTGGAAAATCTCAAGATCTCAGTCTTAATTCCAGTCCTTACTGCCTCTGAGACTTATAATCATACACTTGACCTTTTTAAGTCTTCTTTCTTGACTAAAAAATTGGGGGCGGGGGTAACTCTATGGCTTAAATAATAGATTACAGTAAGGATCAAGTGTAAAAATAGAAATAAATTTTAACTCTCTATAAAGCATAAGGAATGATTATGGAAACAATGCTGTGGACTTTCTTTAAAATCTTTAAATTATTGCTTACTAAGTCTGCTTAGAGTCCTACAACAAAATACCATGGACTATGTCACTTAAACAGCAAACATTAATTTCACACAGTTCTAGACTCAGAGAAGTCCAAGATCACTGCATTGGCAGGTTTGGTAGTTGGTGAGAGTTCTCTTCCTGGCTTTCAGATGGCCATCCTTCTTTTTGTGTCCTTGCATGATGGAGAGAAAGAACTGTAATGTCTCTTCTTATAAGAGAATCAATCCTATCATTGGGTCTACCCTCATGACCTCATCTAAACCTAATTACCTTGCAAAGGCCCACATCCTAATACCATCACATTAGGGGGTAGGGCTTCAACACATGAACATTCAGTCGATAATACTCACATTCATGCTGGGAGAAAGATGTTACTTCCAATATTTTGATATCCCCCAAAAGAGGAAATCTCAAAAGGAATTCTGATCATTCATGGTCTTAGTGACTATAATATTGCCATTAAAATTTTGAGAAGAGGACAAATGACTAAATGACTCTCAAATTCAAAATTACAGCAGTTAAGCCACCTTTCTTTACCAATTCCATATGTTTTAAATGTGAGAATGTGAGATCTCTAAGGCATTATGGAGATCATCTACATCATCTCTTGCCTTTTGTAAATAAGGTTGCTGAGACCAACAGAAGCTAAATGTTCTAGCAAATTGCTGATTATGGGTGGACTCAGTCCCAAAATGATGACCCTCCCTCTGTATCATTCCTGTAGTACCTTTTAGAGTTGTGGTGTTCTGTTTAGAGATTTCCTTCCTCCATAACTTATGTAGAGGATGGGTCAGATGTCGTGACATGTAATCATTCTGTAGAGCAAGGTGGAAGCCATGACAAAGAGCAGCTTTCCCGTCTCCATCTATTCATTTAAATGTAGAGACACTGAGAAGTTTCTAGCCAAAGGTATAGCTGGGAGGCAGGCTAATGCAGGGGAAAACATGCAGACTTTGGTCAGTCAGACCTAGGATGGAACACTTTTCTATCACATTTTAGCCCTGTGACCTTGGGGCAAAAAGTTTTTGTTTTCTTTTTTTTTAATTTTTTTTTTAACGTTTATTTATTTTGGGGACAGAGAGAGACAGAGCATGAATGGGGGAGGGGCAGAGAGAGAGGGAGACACAGAATCGGAAGCAGGCTCCAGGCTCTGAGCCATCAGCCTAGAGCCCGACGCGGGGCTCGAACTCACGGACCGCGAGATCGTGACCTGGCTGAAGTCGGACGCTTAACCGACTGAGCCACCCAGGCGCCCCAAAAAGTTTCTGTTTTCTAGGACTTCAGTGCCACATCTACAAGAGGATAACAATGTAAAGATGAAATAAGTTAACAGATAAGATGCCTGGAACACAGTAAGCATTTGCCAGCCCCCAACTACTTTCCTTAGTAGCAAATCAAGGACTAGCAACCACAATTCTTAACTTCTTGCCAGTGCACTCTCCATTACACTTCAAGGTGCATAGATAACATTGTTTTGAACTGAGAATATTAAGTGCATTTTTTAAAACCTTGTCTTCCAAAATCAATCTCTCCACATTTTTAATAATGCAAGAAAGGAGCTTGAAGTTGGCCCACAGAGATTTTTATGAACCAAAGGGTTATTTTTAATTGGATTTTGTGCCTGTTGTTATGGAAATAGTTGTTTCATAGATTAAGCATTATGACTTAAGAGGAAGATCAAGCCCAGAATGGGGTATAATGATGATATCACCCTTAAGCTTCTTTTTCTTGACAAAACACTTTTAAAAATAAGAGAATGGGAGTGAAGCTGCTTCAAAAGGACACATTTCTAAGGAAAAAAAAAAGTCTTCCCTATAAAAATAGCTTTAACATGATATATTCTCTTTTGAAAGATCAAAACTAAGAATGACCCTTGCTGCCAGTAGGATACTAAGATTCTGCAGAGTTATTAAGCGCTTCTTTCTTCACTGTTGAAACTAGAAAGAGTTCCTTTGATCGTGGAACTTGCTTTCAACATTGGCCTCAATGCTTTTTTTTTTTTTTTTTTTTTTTTTTTTTGCAGTTGCCGAACTAACAGGCTTCCTCTAGTTATTTAGTGATCAATCTTTCAGAACTATTCTGTCCAGACTAGTTTTTATTCATGTATCTGGATTGGATGTGTAATTTAAAGAAAATGTGTAATTTTCTTCTCTAAAGAAACAGAAAAAGATTCTTTGTAACCTTCATGATGGTTTCCTTTAGAGACATGAAGCAGTCCATACTGCAAAGTTTAGCTTATCTCCCTGGTTCACTTTAAGCCCCAGAGAATACTCAACCACGGAAGGCAGAATTTACATCAGTAACATCCTAAGAGAGAAGTCAGGGCTGGATGGATAGCCAGCAGTGCCAGAAGCAAACAATCTCTTGTTGGATCGACTACTGAAGTTCTTCCACTTGGTTTTCTTACTATCTCTCTCTCTCCCTCTCTCTTTGTTTCTTCCTCCTTCTCCTTGACTTTTCTGTGTTCTCCTAAGATCCTTGGACATTGATTGGTTTTGCTGGTAGAATTTGGTTGAAGAAATTGTGAAGCCAATCCTGATCCTGAATCAGTTGATGAAATTCAACGGTGTCACTTTTTTCATTACTTTAGTTTACCAACAAATTCCAGTCCTTGCAAAACACACAGGGGAAAAATCCATCACCAAATAATGTATCTTTAAAAACTTTTCATGATTTTTTCTTAGTGAATCATAGTATCAGATTAGTAGAGATGTTTTATTTTAATTTAAAAATTTTTTCAAGTTATATTAAAGGTTTGTGGGTTTTTTTTTCCTTTCTTTGTTTCTAAGTGGCAAAAGGATGTTTGTCTAAGTTTCTCATTTCACTGATTTCCATAAAACAACTTTCTGAAATAGTATGTCTGTTCTAAGCCTCTATAAATTAATTTGCATAGATTTAATAGATTCACTGGCAGTTACTCTCCCAGGTGGTTAATTTTCTTTTGGTCCTCAGCTGGGAATCCTTTCCCTCTAGTGCTGTTTAGTCTCACTTTATTTTCCTTCCGACTCATCACTCGGACCTTTATTGGCTGTGACTTCTTTTTCTTCTTCATTTCCTAAGAGTCAGTACTCCTATCTAAACCCATTTTCTGTGCCTTCACTGGACTTAGTTTTTAGACACAACATTCCATAAATTTAAGAACTTGGTGAATATTGGAGGTACATGATGTAAGAGTGAAGAGCAGCTGTTACACAATATAGTGCCCAGAGCAGTCTCCTCACCAGAATCTAATCAGCCAGTTGCGCTAGCCTGAAGATGCTTAGCTAATTACTTAAGGTCTGCTCTCTCCCCGAAGTCAGAGGTTACAAGACTGCTATCTACTTCATTAGCGAAAAAGTGTTAACTATAAAGACCAGACAATTCCTTAGGAAAAACAGAAACAACAACAGCAAAAAGTGTGTGTAAATTTGGGAGGCTTCCTGATGCTATATTGACTGTGCCTATTTATGACAACAAGGTTCATTCACTTGTCTTTGATCAATGCATAATGTTAAAGATTCTTCTTAAATTGTCACACCTGAATGTCTGTTAACTTGTCATTTTCCTTGCTTGCTCTGACTCTAATGGGTTTGAAAATTGATCCAGCCAGTCTCTTCTCTCCTTTCTCTCTCTCACCTCTTTCTCTCATTTCCTCCTCTCTTGTCTCTCCTCCCTCTCCCGTGCCTTCCCCCTTACTTTGTCTCTTTCTCTCACTCTCTGTGAGGTTCATTTGCTTGACTGATTCTGAGTGTCCATAATGACTGTTTGGCATATCCTACAGGCAAAGGTCCCGAGACCCTTTTTGCCGGCTATAACCTCAATGATAACGAATGGCACACAGTGCGTGTGGTCCGTCGAGGAAAAAGTTTAAAGTTAACCGTGGATGACCAACAGGCCATGACAGGTAAATCCCCGTTGTCGTTGCCTTTGCTTTTGCTGAAGCTTTAGACTTTCCCATATCTGGCAGGTGACTATAAAACCAACTACACAACTTGAAGCTGATACACACAGTTCATTTTTTATTCCAATGTCTCCAGCAATGATTCCATTAAATAAGGAACATGTTGAATGTTTTTTTTTTTTTCCTCTCAAACAAGCACTACTTTTGTGTCATGTTCTTTCCTATTTAATAATTCAAGAAGACATTATATAGTTCAGTGTTGTGGGTCATAAATATCTTAGGGTCTCATGAAATATTGAAGTCATTGTTTACATGCCAATTTCTGTTCAATTTCTTTGTTATATATTTTGGCAATGAACAGCAGCAAGTTCTACATTTCACTGTCTGGGTAAATTGATAGATGTGCTGGCATTCTGTCAGCCGAACCACTTTTTCATTATAAGCTATAATAGATCATTTCTGGCCATTTACCTCAGTTGGTTAAACTCTAATATTAAGGATGTCAGGTTCAATCCCTGATATGTAGATTCTTAACTGAGGTGAGCCATATAAAAGTCCACCCCAGAGATATAGGGAAACCGAATGAAAGAGGAATCGGTGTTGTGCCTTTATTCTCTCAGCTGAAAATAACTCCAAACACATGACCTACTGGGATGTTAACTCTTTTTCCTTTTTAGAGAACATCTCTAAAATTATTATTTTAGTACATAGCACAAGATAGTTCTTGTGCAGCAGAGAAGTGTGTCCTACATTCAGTCCTAAGGGGTTTCCATTATCAGAGATCAGTTGATTCTATCAATGTGGAAATAGCATGTGTGGGATTTTAACTTTTGAGAGAATCATTTCTGAGTTCAAATGAAGAAAACTGCAAACTTAGGGATCTCTTTACTATCTTATAATTCAATAGCCTTTTATGGCTCTCCAAAACTCTTTTCTATATGTAGGGGCAACTTTTTTTCAGAATCACCTGAACAGCTTTAAAAGGACCAATTCCTGGCCTGACAACACAGAGAATCAAGGAAGAGTACAGTAATTTTTTTTCCTTTTGTTTTTATTTTGTTGTTGTTTTCGGTTTGGGCTTTTTTTCATATTTAAAATCTCTTGAGAGGGGACTCTTATGCAACTGGGTCATGGATTAGCAATTGGAAAGCAAATGTTACATTATTTTATTCTCTGAGAAAGAAAATCAACCAGAGAGTGGTTAGCCTAAGTCTTTATTCAAAATTGCCAGACAGGAGAAGGTTCTAAAGGAACTGTGTGAACCCGGTGAAGGAAGGCAGAATTTTTGCAGGGCTTTGACAAGAGTGTCAACCCAAGTTCAACTAGTTTTGGTCAAGGACGGGTCTTAGAGGAATGAATTGTTTTTGTAGCATCCATTGTCTGGATGATTTGGGTTTTATTAAAAGGAGTAGAAATGAGGAGTTTGTGTCTAAGGTCATATGCAAGAGGTTGTGAATAAATAGTTGCCGGGGACAGGATATGTGAAAACCACAGGGGAACATTCTTTTGTCCCTAAGTATGTCTCAAATCTCACACAACCCAGTGAAGCAGATAGGGCATATGCATTTTCATTTTATAGAGGAGGAAACTGGGGTGCCTGGGTGGCTCAGTTGGTTAAGCATCTGACTTAAGCTCAGGTCATGATCTTGTGGTTGGTGAGTTCGAGCCCCACAGTGGGTTCTGTGCTGACAGCTTAGATCCTAGAGGCTGCTTCAGATTCTTTGTCTCCCTCACTCTCTGCCCCTCCCCTGCATGTGCTCTGTCTCTCTCTGTCTCTCTCTCAAAAATAAATATTTAAAAAAATTAATAAAAAAAGAAAGATGAGGAAACTGAGTTTCAAAGGGGTTAAGTGACTTATGTTTCTTTGAAATGCCACTGTTACCAGAACTTAGAAGAGGACCTAGGTTTGATTTTATTGCTATTATTGATGATTTGTTTTTTTGACTCGTGGTCAAAACCTCTACAACACATACTTTCCACACACATCATGTCACACACATCTTAATAGATACATACACATCTATATCTAAATAGATATACACACAAGAACTCACACAAGAACTGACAATTGGTGCAGTAGATGAGGTACTGAATGTTTGATGTAAGCAATTTATGATCTTGGAGTTCAGAAGAGAGGTTGAGGACCTTGGTTTCAAAGATAGCTTAAAGCAATAGATGACATTTGAACTAGGCTTTAAAGAGAGAGTAACACAGATGATAAAAGTATGTGAGGGAACATTCCATACTGGGGAGAAGGGCTTCAATGGTGCTACACGGACTAATGTTGAGGAGACAGTTTTGTTTGGTTTCATGCATCTATATGGTAGTTGACAGGGCTAAAATGGCCTTTTGCAGCAAATAGGTCAGTTTGCTCAAGGCGTTCATTTTTCGTGGACCTGCAGGTGATTGGAAATCCTGAGAGTATGCTGAGAGAATATGTTTTGAGCAAAATGAATCCTGTGTCAGTGTAGTATATGCTTTAGGATGTAAAGTCTTAAGTCCTGAACTACAGTGGATGAAGAAGGGATAGAAACAAAAGTATGGTGCAACATATTTTGCTAAATTTTATTTACAAATAGTTTCCAGTTTACAAAAAACCCCTCAAAAATAAAAACAGTACAAAGAACATTGATCTATCTTTACTCTTGTGAATGTTGTATCCCATTTGCTTTGACATTTTCACTTTTTTTTTCATAACCAGATGAGGAAAAATTAAATACAAAATGGCCCTTTACCCGTAACTATTAAAGTGTGCATTTTCTACAAATAATTATATATATATATATACCCTTACATAACAAAGAGTTACCAACTTCAGTAAGTGTTGCTCGGATGCAATATCTTTTATCTGTTCTGTTCTCCATATTACAATTTAGTGAGTTGACCTAGTGTTGTCTTTTATAACGTTTCCCCTCTACACAGTGTGCAGCCTGGGCTCGGACACCGCATATAGCTTTCGGGTCTCTTTAACCTGCTTTCATCTGAAACATTTCCAGCAACTTTTTTTTTTTTTTGTCTTTTCGTGACATTGACATTTTTGAAATATATAACCCTCCCACCTTTTATCACTGTAAAGTCACTCATTTTGTGTTTGATGTTTTCTCACGATTGAATTCAGGGTTTGCATTTTTGGGTTGAATTCTGCATTGGTGATATTGTGGCCTCCTTCTAGTATCCTGTCTGAAGGCATGAGATGTCCATGTCCTTTACCGGTGATTTAATTTAACCACTTGGTCAACACGTTGTCCATTTTCTCCACTACATGAACAGTATGTTTTCTCCCTCTCCACTAATAAACTGTCTGTGGAGAGACATTAAGACCATAAAAAATATTCTGTGTCTTTTCAAAATTTCACCCTACATTTAGCATCCATTGAAGATTTTCTCCTGATCCAGTCTTTACTGCAGTAGTTACAAAATGATTTTCTAATTCCAGCACTTCCCATCCTTTCTTCTTTCCTTCCTTCCTTTATTTCTTCCTTATTGGTATGGACACCCAAGTTTCTATGTTTCTCAAATAGTTTATAATTACTTTACTTGATTATTTTGGTGCTCAGATGGTCCCAGTTTGAGTCCATGGGCCAGTGTGAGTCCCATGAAGTCGGTCTTTGTTATATTGTGACATGCCCCACCCCAACATTTTCAGGTTTGTGTTTTGTTTTGTTTTGTTTTGCTTTTTTTAGCATTTTCTTACTTACTTTATGTCATAACAGGATATTCCAGGCACTGCTTGTACCTACCATGCCCCAGTTCTGGAATCAGCCATTTTGTCTTCATTTAGTCAAGATTGATATTAGAGACCAAAATCTGGGTGGTTGATGTTGAGATACTCTCAATGCTATTGGAGTATCTTTGTTTCCTGCCCTTTTCAGTAGGCAAAGATAGGAAAATATATTCAAGGATATACACATAAACCTGAATGAATATGTAAATACACACATGGAACTAAAGAATGTTCCCTTGTGGTTTTCACATGTCCTTGTCCCTGGGTAGCTGTTTACTCACAACCTCTGACACATGACCTTAGACACAAACTCCTCATTTTTACTCTTTCTGATAAAACCTAAATCATCCAAACAGTGGTTTCTAGTTTACAAAAATGCATGTGCACATAATCATGCATATACATATATTTTAGAAAAGATGAGTTCCCAGTGGTACGTCCATATCTACGTCCTTGTTTTTTGACTTCCCCCATTCTGTGTTTCCATGTTCTTTCTTCCATGGTGGGATCCTTGCCCTCAGTGATGTCAGTTACTCATTTCTTCAACCCAATAATGAATCTAGGATAGTGTGTGGATTACTTGAAGTTGCCTATACCACTACAATTAATAAACCAACTAAAACAAAATTCAGGATTAGTTTGTGATTCTTCTCATTTCTCACTGCCTAAGACTTAGCAGGTAAAATTAAACGCTGAGTTTATAAGTAACTTTGGTTATAACTTGGCTTATTTCCTCCCTTCCTTCTTTCCCTGCCTCCCTTTTTTTCCTTTTCTTCCTAATTTCCTTCCTTGAGTGTAGTTATAGTCTCCATTTGAAATATAATTAGTTTTATGTATTTCACTTTAGCTTTTCCTTCCCATTCCTATTTAATTACGTAAGTATGTTGTAAGTATGTACAACATTAACATGATTTTAAAAATCAATGCAACACATTTTGTATTAAGAAGTGATGAATAGGGGCACCTGGGTGGCTCAGTTGGTTAAGCACCCAACTTCGGCTCAGGTCATGATCTCACAGTTTGGTTTGTGTGTTCCTGTCGCATATCAGGCTTGCTGCTGTCAGTGGGGAGCCTCCTTCAGATCCTCTGTCCCTTCTTTCTCTGTCCCTCCCCCATTGGTGAGTGTTTTCTCTTTTATGTCTCTCAAAAATAAATATTAAAAAAAGTAACAAATAGGGTGTGAATATGATCAGTGTAACAAAGAAAATTCCAGAAATGGCCCCTAAATGAATTGCCATCTGATTTTCATAGAAAATTCAAGATACATATTTTCAATTAC